TAATTTTACCGGATACATCTCGCCTGCTAATCTCTTTATTGGAATAAACTTGTCCCATCTTAACTGATCTGTTTTAGACTTAATAACTCTAATCCACAACTTTCTATCCTTTTTCACAATATCTGAATCTTTCAAATTGCATAACTCATCTGGCCAATGCAACCAATGCCAAATCTCAAGCCCAAAACGTTTTACTAATTCTGGGTGGTAGGCAATTTAAATAACTTTTAACTACTAAAACCAGTAATGAGTTTCTTGGCCACTTGGCTTCTGTTCTTTTCTGGGCCATTATTCTTCTAATCCCTTCAATTATAAATCAAACCAAACTGCTTTTTATAGGGTCCTCAAAGCCCCTTACTTTATATTCTCTAGCTACTGCTACTAGACATATAGATATCTTTGCTGTCCTTTTTGACAGTTTCAATCAAGCAAGAAATATTACTAATAACTTATTTGATGCTGGGTACAGAGGCACACCAACCCAACAAGCAAACTAACAAACACACCCTGTGCTTTAGCTAAATACCTTCTATATTCATCACTAATCGATCTGTCCTTTAAATATGCTACTCTCTTTAACAGTTCTCTGACTAATCTAAGAGAACTGCCTTTAATGCCCACTAGCTGTTTTTGCATGGCTTCAGGTTTTCTGATGGCCCTGGGTGGATAATCAGACTTGGTAGCAATAAATTGATCTCTTTCTTGCTTAATTCACTATTAGAGATTATTATGGGGCTAAAACCCATATTGGAACTATAATTACCAACCATGCTCCATATTCCTTTGCATGATATAATGCTCTGTGAATTAAACAAAAGGGTAAGTGTACATAATTTCTTACTTCTGCCCAATTCTGAGTAAAACAGTCTACTGTCTCCGTCCTTGGGCAAAAATAAAGACTGTTGAATCTTTGAGCTTTTGTATTTAGATAGTTTGTGAACCTGTCTACTTCAAAACTTCCCCAAGCTTGCTCTAACTATATTATCACATTTGGACTCAAAACCAATCCTCTTGGTTCAATACTTTTGTCAACAAATCTGCTGAATTTAACTGACTTGGAACCCACCTTGTATTAAAAATACCAATATCAGCCTCTATACAAATTTTCCAAATTTGTCTTGCAATATTCTTCTGCTAATTCATCAGGCCTCTACTTA